CATCCAAATGATAGCTAGATTACAATAAGAGGCTCTACCTCCATACAAACATGGCCTGTAGGCTTTGTCCTTCCCATCCAATAACCAACAAGGGGCTTGTCTGGCTAAGCAAGTTAGCATTTCTTGAAGAAAACTTTTTTTGTAGATAGTGAATTCTAATGATTACTTGATTGTCATACCACATCTTCAATACTAGCTTTATTACAACATTGTTTCTTATTCTTGCTCACAGTGCTTATGTTATTTGGTCAGTTTTAGGCATTTCAATTTGGTGCCTGAGGTAGTATAATGTTTCATTTTATGCAAATCTTAAAGAATAGCAATGTGTGCCCGTTTCAGTTTCTTATTCTTGCTCACAGTGCTTATGTTATTTGGTCAGTTTTAGGCATTTCAATTTGGTGCCTGAGGTAGTATAATGTTTCATTTTATGCAAATCTTAAAGAATAGCAATGTATGCCCATTTCAGTTTCTGACAACAGTTAATGATTTCATTTTCTGCAGGACGACGACGACGAGAATGAAGAGGAAGAGGGAGGACTTAGTAAATCTGGAAAAGAGTTGAAGAAGTTGCTTGGCCGAGCTAACGGACTGAATGATTCAGACGCAGAGGATGACGATGATGATGAAGACGTAAGTCTTTTGAAATACATTGTTGCAGTGTGCCTGGCTGATATTCTTGATGTTGTGTTGTGATTTTGGTGACCTATGAGCTGAGATAGTTCATCTTATTTCAATATGTCTGTTTTAAGTTGATTTTAGGAAGATAACGCTGCATTTTCTAAGTTTAGTTGACATTTCCAGAATTATAGTTCCAATATGCCGATAATCTATTTTGCTAACAATGTTCTATTTATTTTGGCTCGTTCAGATGGATGATGATGTGAGCTTTTCTCCTGTTCTGGCTCCGAAGCAGAAGGATCAACCTAAAGAAGAACCAGCTGATAGCACTCCTCCTAAACCAGTGCCGTCAGGATCATCTCGAGGAACTCCATCTTCCAAGTCAGCAAAGTCAAAGAGAAAATTAGATGGTGATGTCGCTAAGGCGTCCAATGGTGCTCCTCCGAAGAAGGTGAAGACAGAAAATGTATGTTGTATCTCTTGAAAGGCTGCCATGCTATTAAATGTGAACTAGTTATCTTGATGCATTGTTCAATGGCTTTGTTTTTTTGTCAATCAGGAGTTAAAATCTTCTGTAAAAGAAGAAACTGTACCTTCTTCTAAATCTGGTGCGCATGCGAAAGGTTCTTCGAAAACCTCGTCAACATCTCCGATGGCATCGTCACCCACTGGACTTGTGACTGAAGAAGAAATCAGGGCTGTGCTGTCACAAAAGACACCTGTAACCACACAGGATCTTTGTTGCTAAATTTAGAGCCAGACTGAAAACCCCTGAGGTATGCCCCATTTATTGCCTTTTGGTATGGTTATGATTCTTCTGTTTTCCTCACTTGTGCCCTTGCGAAAGAACTGCTTTTATTTGAGCTAGTCCGCTAGAATAAAATGAGAAATTATGTGTGTATATGTATATTGATAAACAGAAATTCGGATACTGATTGATGAAAGTATAAGGCCTACCCCTCTTTATCTTCCAGATCCTATAATGTTTTGATGTGGGAAGTAAATCAACCGGGATGTTTAGGGCCAATATTACCCATATTGAATAAAATCAGAAAAAATAAAAATTGGAGATGAAATCTGTCCCCGCTTGTGCATTTCATTCATTTTCTTTTCAGCGGAAATATAATTATGAATTTTTGTTTAATCTTCGGTTTTCCTTTCTCCCTTGTTCTTGCAGGACAAGAAAGCTTTTGCAGATATTTTGAGGAGGATTTCTAAGATACAAAAGACTCCTGGACCAAACAACTATGTCGTGTTGAGAAACAAATGATGATGAAACTCCTTGAAAATTCTTGCCCTTTTTCTTACCAAGCTTGTGAGAACTAATGGAATTCACACAAGGTTGGTACCTTGCTTGGTGCTGAGGTATCTGTTCTCGGATCTCTCTGGATAAATTTGTAGTGGATTCTGTGATAATCTAGTGTTTAAACTCGACATCCGCATCTAAAAGCAATATAAGTCAGTATCACAAGTGATCATAAAATCTTTCTTGTAATTAAGGTTCTGTTGGTGGAATTTTCTTTCTTTAAGTGTTTACAATGTTGAAGGAAGGTGTGGTGGGTATTGATTTTTAAGAGTAATCAACGGCCATTGCAGCTTTGAACTTTTACCTGGTATAACTTTTTTTCATAATTATGAGCATTTTATAGGAAGATTTTAATATGTTTCATTTACTAAAGAATAGTCTTGAGAAATTCTTTACGGCCATGTCAAAAATTGTGAAATTCATATGGAAATTTCGTAGGGGAATTTATAGTTTGCTAAGCTCGGTTGGATGTATGAATAGTCAAAGTAAAATTCATATAACAATGTATAATATTTCTAATTATTTATATAATCCTGTTTCATGGTATGCAACCATATAGAAAGCCAAAACTCCAGCCAATAACAGTATAAAGCTTCCACCAATAACTGGGAGTCTGAGGCCGAGGGGGTAGGTGCTTCAAAACCTGCTGAGTTTGATGGTACCCTAATTCGAAGGAAAGATGTAGCTTCAGCTTATTTCTTGCAGTTTTCTAATAGGCTTGTTAATTAGGAAGTATCGAATTCCTTCCTTCGCTAATGAGATCACTTCTAGTCTCTCCGTGTACATTTTGATAAGGTTGCTCATACTGCACTGACTCATATTCCTCATTGTGCTTCACCTCAGCGATTCTCCCCTGCACTGCTGAGTAGATGAACCATGGCCGTCCATCGCACGAGTTGCGCGAAATTTTTTTGCCTCATTACTTAATATTTTTTTTAAAAAAAAATACATTTCTTATGTACTCATAAGTACTATATTGGAGTTGAATCAGATTTCGGATCAATCTATATTGATTGACTGTTTTCATTATGTTGTTACTAGTAAATACCACTCTTTTTGGTTTTGGATCTTCTAAATCATTCCCACAGAAGATCCGAACCTATTTTTTTCTGATCTTTCGATAAAAAAATTTATTTTTTTTCATAAAAAATAAAAGATAGAACCAATAAAAATTTCTTTTTCGATTCATCCAGAGAATTGTTGAGGTACTTATACTCATTATGCCTAGCATTGAATAGGCTGAGTATTCACCCTATCAATATCTCAAATCAATGATGGGTTCTGTTCGGCTCCAACCTAAAAGGGCACCAAAATCGGACCGAACCCTTCCATTTGTCAGGCTATTGTTCTCTTGAGTCTGTATACAAAGCATCTTCTGTCCTTTCCACGACTATTAATTAGATTCCGCCTCTGAATATCCAATCGAATTCAAGATTCAAGATTCTAATTATATGTTTTAATATTTAAATAAGATTTAATAACTATTAATAATATAATTAATAATACTATAATTTTTTTTTTAACCTATATACACAAAACAAATAATTTGATTTAAATTTATATTTTTGAAACATAATAGAATAATCAATCATTATACCTAAATATTGATGATTTTATTTAAATAATTAGTTTCTAAATAAAAAGAAAAAGAACAAAAAAATTATAAATTAAAGTGAGAAGCTGTAAATCATGTTTATTGTTTAGAAGAAATGAAATAGCTTTGTTTCATAGCTTTAAATGTGTGTACCATACTTGTCTCTCTTTTTTTTTTTTTTTTTAGATGAAATACCCTAATTTTACCTATAGTAATTTTATTTTTAAATTAATCTTATTATTTTTATTGTATTATTTTTTTTTTTTACTTTCACATATTTTCAAAATTCACTAATTTAAAACTAATTTCTATTTAATCTAATAAATTTCAAAAATTAAAGTGCAATCCTCAAAAACCCAAATTTAAACATAACAAAAATCAATGTCTAAAAACCCATTTTTTCAAGTAATTAAACCCAAAAGCCCATTTTACTTCAAAATAAAGCCCAAATAAAAGCTTGGCCCATAACCTAATCCCTCGACCAAAACGCCACCGTTTGAACCTTCAAAAACACGCGAAAAAATTAGAAGAGGGGAGAGTGGAGCGGGTTAGAACACGTGATGAAATTATAACCGTTAGAAGCGTCAAAAACACGCCAAGAAATTAAAGGGGGAGAGGGGAGCGGATGCATAACGTCACAGAGAGAGAGAGAGAGAAGGTTTAGAGAGGAAGGAAATTCGTGAAGAGGGCTCGCGAAGACGATAACCACTGGGCTGATAGCGGGGTGAACGAGCGCTGCGGTAACGAGCCGTAAGAAAGATGAGCAGAGCGTTCCTTCCGCCGGCCTTTATAGGAGTAAGGGAGCGTGGTGAGATAGATAGACGTCCAATCAGCTGGTTGCTCGGCCTTAGTATTGGGCGGATCTCACACTTCAATCAACCCCTTCGATCCAATCAATCGATCGATCAAGAGGCTAATCTCTTTTATTATTTATCTGTTGATACCGTGGAGGCTTTTCTGTCTTAAATTGCCACCCTCTTTGAATCTCATCTGCTGAGTCTTTTCCTTCTTAAATTTGCAAATTGTTTTTTGTCATTTATTTCAGCATCTCGATTTAACGTTTTTTTCTTTCCATGCTCTGTTCAGATTGCTTGATGTCAAACAAGGACAGAATAAGAAGGGAAGACAGTACTCTATCTGTTATTTGAGTACATGGACACTGATCTCCGGAAATTCATCAAGAGGTACCGCTAAACTGGAGAGAACTTTCTCACTAAAACGTTCAAGGCTTTTAAAATTTTAATCAAACCTCTTATGTTTGGAGCTTCTTGTAGTTCACAAGTTTATTGAATTTTTCATTGATATACATGAGTCGGAATTAGAAGGATTTCTAAACTCTCTCTCTCCCTCATTGGGTCAAAGACTCAAGCAGTTTTGGATTTGATCATTTTGGATCTGATGTGTGTTCCGTATGTTTGGTTTGACTCTGGTAGTTCTCCTATCATCTTATCACCCATTACTTCCGTCCGATTTGTTTGTGACTCGTGCTGCATGGTATAGATAGATTGTTTTTGAATGAAAGGATGCTTACTACATTGGAACAAATTAAACTTTTTAATCAGGTACTGTATTTGAATTAAAATTTTCATTTCTGATCGTGGCATATGTGTTGTTACTATATCAAAACATTGATAGGATGATTAAAAACTATTTGTTTGCTACTTGTAGTCCTGTATCTCTTGTTTTTGCTTGCTGTTGCCCATTTCATAATAAATGTAGCTGGTGTGAAGATGTTGAATTCAGAAGTTGGTTTCAACTGTGTGGTGTATCGGCTTTATGTGGAAGACGGTCTTCTGTAGCTCTCTCTTTTTCTCTCTTTACATATATATACCTATACATTTATTCTTTTGAGTAATGGTTGCTCAGAAATCCTTAATGTTATATTATTCTGTCATTTTTTTTTTGTATGCAGGTTATTGTTTACATACCACAATGCATAAACTTGATGTTTAAGGCACATCTTACCTGGTGGTTCCGCTCTTTGGTCTTCTTGATTTTGTTAGAAGGATGAAGCCACCGGAAAGAAAAGATAGAGACTTTTGAAAGGTTCATTGAACTTTGTATGTCGGGTTTCTTCTAATCATATATAGTTAAAAAATGAGTTTAAGGTAACACGTGAATGATGTAATACTGTTAAAGCTCTATAATTGTTCAAGATAGTGTACTTTGGTATGGCTAGCCAGTTGAGAACTTCGGTTGCAGGACTATAATAGGCTGCTGAAATATCGTTTACATTACAAGAGGTTTACACTGCTAGCTGGAGTAGATCAATTGGATAAAACATGTCTTTCATCGGTTGAGCTGACTTAGGTATTTTTCTGTGATCTTGTCACCCTTTATTTTAATTTCAAGTTCTTTTGTGACTGCTGATCTTTGGGGAAATATCTCTCCTTGTTTGAATCAGCCTGGGTAGTTTTTCTATTATCAGTTAACGTGATCTTTCTCTTGCAATTTTTCTGCTGCTCTATTGCAATGAGATCAAATAGGTATAAATGTTGCTTATCTTGGAGCAGTCAGAACCTATTGAAGAAGTATAGGAATTAAGATTAGAAGGAAGACGTTCTAAGTTTCAATGAATAACTCATATTAGCGGCCTCTTTTTTTTTCCCTATTGAATAACTCATATCTTGGAGCAGTCAGAACCTATTGAAGAAGTATAAGAATTGAGATTAGAAGGAAGACGTTCTAAGTTTCAATTAATAACTCATATTAGTGGCCCTTTTTTTTTCCCTATATCCTTTCCTTTTTGAATTCTTCGTGCTTTTTAAGTTTAAAATTTACATTTTCATATTAACTCAAAAGATGTATTATGTCTTGAATAATTAGATGGTGCCAAATAATTGAGGGTGGTGGAAGGATGATAGAAATTAAAGGTTCCCTGTGCACTCAGTGACTGCTATGTTATTGATGGTTGATATAGTTAAGAAAATCAATTAATTTAAGTTTTTAATTGTCTACCTCTTGCTAAGTTGGTAGCTATTGAGTGGATTTGGAGGTCAGAAGACTAGTTTCAAGTGTATAGTGTTTAGGCTCAATGTCTATGGTGATCTATGATATCTTTTGATTTTTTGCGGTCCATGTTAATCATCTCTCTCTCTCTCTCGCGTATTTTGAGAAATTGTTTGTAGATATCCTTAATTAGATCTTATTGCCTTAATTTTTTTTTTTTAAAAAAAACATTGATTATATTTTTATGTAGGTGAGGTTTAAGGCATATTCTTTAGCACATCTTATGCGGTTGGTGCTTTCGCTTTATGTGTTTGCTTAAGGGTATCTAATTAGACGCTTGAAACAAAAAAGATACAAGCAATGTGCATTTTAACATAGCAAAATTGTTGGATACTTGCAGGCCCAGGAATGAATTACTATATCATTTTTTGCATGGTGGGAAAATTACACGACTTCCTGGATTTGTTCATCCTTCTCTTCTGCTTTTGAATGGACTCTGGTA